CAGGGGAAGTTTAGGTTAGATATAAGGAAGAAGTTCTTCACAGTGAGGGTGGTGAGGCACTGGAATGGGTTGCCCAAGGAAGCTATGAATGCTTCATCCCTGGCAGTGTTCAGGGCCAGGTTGGACAGAGCCTTGGGCGACGTAGTTTAGTGTTTGGTGTCCCTGTTCATGGCAGGGGGGTTGGAACTAGATGATCTTAGGGTCCTTTCCAACCCTAACTATTCTATGATTCTATGGAAAAGCAAACATGGGTTAGTGCTGCAGAAAGGGACAACCTTTGTTCAGAAGCAAGCAGGTTAAGAGGAATAAAACTCCAAGAAAACATGTTCCTCACCTGTCCCATTTCTGGGGAGAATGTGCCTGACACCGTGTTCTGCTTCTTCAGCTTCCTTTGCTGATCTAGACGCTCCTTCTCCTTCTCAACTGCCCTCTGAGCCTCCCGCAGTCTCTCCAGGTCATGCTGATAGGCCTCACGCAGCCTCTCGAGCTCTTCCCTCTCCTGATTCACCTTCTCCCTCAGCTGCCGAGTCCCCTCTTCGCTTTCCTGCAGCTGAGCTTCTTTGCTTTCAAACTCCCTCTGCTGTCGACTCCTCTCCCGCTCCAGGCGCTGCTGCTCCAGCTTCAGCTGGCTCTGAAGCTTCTGCACATTCATCAGCTCTTCCCTCTGCTTCTCAAAGTTCCGCTGTTTCTCCTGCTCCAGCAGCAGGTTGCCTCGCGTGGACTGCAGCCGATACTGCTTCTCCCGGTCTGCCATGGCGGCTCGTTGCATCTCGAGGTAGCTGTCCTGCTGAGATATCACTGCCTGAAGGGGAAATCAGGTCAGCATAAGGCACATGGGTTCAGGAAACATGCACAGCTCAAGACAACAGCCTCTACCAGACGAAATCACAGAGACTTCTGTTTCCAAGAGCAGACTGAACTTCCAACTTGTACAGCCTGCCGTGACTGACATGATTCTGAGGATGCCTAAAGCAAGGAAGTTCTGCTTATGGCAAAATTAACGTTTCTTGCACGTAGAATTATTACTTTGAATCCAATCAGTCAAAATGCTGCTGATTACAGTAAAAACAACGCATACGTACACGTGTGCATCCAAAATTTTAAGAGGAAATGAGCAGGCGGAGCTCAGAGTAGCGGAAGAATTGCATTTAAGTGAGCAGGAAGAAGGAAACAATTACTTAAGACAACAGATCTTACACTTCCTTCAAAACACCAGACAAAGGGTGTGTGTTCTTGATTAAATTCTGCACCTCACTTTAGCTTTAGGGGATATTTTTAGGGTAGCTCCTCTCCACACCTTCATGAAACTTTATTACAGTAATGCCTAACAAACCTCTTGAATAGTAAATAGTGGTTTACCTGAAGACTGAAGAGCAGCTGTAACAGTGTTTGTATCCTTTGGACAAGCTGAAGAGAAGGGGGAGCAGGGGAAGGAAAAAGGACATTAGACACTTGAACAGAGCTCTGGTTTGATGCCTAAGACTTCTTTCTCTTTTTAAACAGTGACCATAATCAACAGCATCTGTACAAACCCCCACACAATGGAAGCATGGCTCCAACAGCCAAGAGAGCAATATGCCAGCACGATGAATTGCAGCATATCAGTCCTTGCACAGATGTGAATCACTGCCCTACAGAGCTCCCCGACATTCCAGGGAGCAATCTTCATCACTGGTTGTCTTCACACGAGCTATTTAATGATCACTTCCTCCCATACTCCAGCACTGAATCACTGCACAGGTATAGCACTGGTGGGAGGTTCAGGGGCATGTTTTGTCAGGGAGCTGAGATTATGCAATCTCTCCAAAGATGCAGGAAGAGTAGTTGGCCAGCTCTTTGAAACGCCTCTCTACACACCCAGAACCCATCTATGCTTTCTAACAGGAGTTTTATCTCTGCGTTCATAATGCGTTAGAGTCACAAGGTACAGGCTGTTAATGTGCTTGTGGTTCCACAGACACTAAAACCACTGAGCTTTCTGGTGGTGTTTGGTTGGGTTGGTTTTGCATGCCATTATTATAATAGAGCTATTTGCCATTTCCTAACAGTAGGAGTAACATACCTGAGACTCTATGGTGGGCTGAAAGCCACTGCTGTCATCCAGCCTTGTTACATCACCCTAAAAAAAGACAAAAACAGTATCTGAGGCACTTGCTGGGCTTTGGAAGCACTGCCAGAACAAGCTGGAAGGGTTCATCTCATGAGGGAACAGGTTTACTGCTAAAGCGGAGATTGCTCCCATACAATGAAGGACATGTAGCAAGAACACGTAAATCAGAGGCCAGGCTGGAACTGATGCATGGTGATTAAAGCTAGCATTAATGATACAACACCAAACGAACAAATATATGACCAAATTACCATGCCTCTCAGGTGCTAAGCTGTCATCTAGCTCCACAAAACACCTTTAACAGAGTGTAGTAATTTGACTGACATAGCTCCGTTACAGGCCAGCCCTTCCAGCTTAGTATCACTTTTAACTTTGATAAAAGATTTGGTTTGCACCACTGTTATGAAGAACATCATAAGGAAACACATTTAAATCATGCATAAGCCCAACATACAGCTTGAGATGCTTCTTCTGCATCAGAAGGGAGGTCATGGAGTTGCGCGTCTGAGCTCACTGCAGAGCCTCTCCAGTCCCACTGCCTCTGGTCACCACCACTGTTCTTCCTAAAATTACCACCTGAAAGAAGAGTGGACTCTGAGTAGCCTACACCAGCACAGCACCTCTGAAAACTCACTGCAGAACAAAGCAAGCAGAAAACAAACCTGACTTTGATGTTATAACCAATATACAACTGCATGGCTGCTCCATGGTGAGTCAAAGAGGAAGAGCAGACAACAGTGACATGCATTTCTACCCAAAGTATCACTTTAGTGACTGTGCAGATACAAAAGGAAGTGGAAAAAACCTTCCTGATTCAATAACAAAAGCAGGCAGCTGAATTCATGTCTCCCAGCTGTTTTTTTTTAACAAAACTAAAGTTCTGTGTGGAACCGTGGTAACTAGAGAGCATGGATGAAGGTAACGTCCTCAGCACACCACCGAGAGCCCTACTCTGCTCCCTAGTGTTGGTATCAGAAGCAAAAGATACAACATTCTGATGCCACATGCTGGAAATTTGCTCTTTTCCTTCTTTTAGAGGCTGGTGAAGCTTCCTTATACCAGGGCCTCACTTAATTCATTATTATTATCCCATTTTCTGTACAGAGTAACCCAGGAAAGGCTAAGAAACTCAGAATAATACTGAATAGTCCCTTTCTTACTTTTAGTTGAGATTGAGGGACTACTGTCATATCCTCCAAAGGTCTCTGCTCTCCTGGGGAGCCCTGGCCCAGAGCCATCCTCAGGCTGACAGGATCCATTGCCTAAGTGACTGAAGATAAGGTTCTGGAGATCTTCAGCTGGAAAAGAGGAGAACACCTCATGTAAACAGCCATGTCTATGCAGCAAGACAAGTGCACCAGGCCAACAAGTTAAAACACATTTAATCCATCAAGTACATGAAAAGATCAGGCAGCTTGAGAGTCTTCCTGCAGCACAGATGAATGTTCCTTTGTGACTAGCTCTTTACGACAGACTCTTTGTGTTGCATATATAAAGATGACCTCTTCCTTAATTGCAAGTTGGGATTATCAAGTCTTGAGTCTTTGGGGTTTCTTTTCTTTTTAATTTTTGTTTTGGTTTGTTTTCCACAATAGAAGTTATGTTTGTGCTTATTTTTTGTCTAAAGATACTACCTTTAGAAAGGCTATTTTAATATATAACCCTCCTATAATATTTCAGACCTGGTGTATTATTAGAGCACTCAGTTACCTGTCTGAACAGACTCCACTGGCTGATCCTTACAGATATCCAAACAGTGGAGAAGATCCTCTACCTAAACACACGGGTGCACTTTACCTATTGCACATTGCTTCTGAGAATAAGGAACTCTGAACAGTGTTGTAACGGTGTTATATAGAAGTATTATGTTATGACAGGGTGATTTTCAGGACTTGGACCCTATGTGCTTATCCCCACCTCTGCACTTGAGTGAATGCACGCCCATTCCCACATTGCATTTACCTTCTGTCACTGCTGACTTCAAAATCGCCTCTCCTTGCAGATTTTCTGGGATATCCCCCCGAAACAGTAGCCTAGATCGGGATGCTTGGGAATGGTCTTCAAAGCCCATCATTTCAGACATTTCTAGATAAATCTGTTGCTTCTCAGTTAGACTTTGCACAATCAGGTCATCTTTCATGTTCAAACGCTCTAAAGGAAGAAAGAAACCCAGTTCCTAATCACTGGCAGAACACAGCCTTCAGTTTGGGAGATTGTTATTTATTTTATGGCCAAGGCATCAAATGCTGAGATATAATTAACAGTTAAGGTGCAAACTCGTGGAGCATACAAAGCTTATTCCACTTATTTAACTATTTCTATATAATCCTGCACTGCCTTGAAAGACTTACGAAGGAGAAACTTGATCACGTCAAGTGATAAAGAGATAAGACAGTCATCAATCACAAATGATGCTGAGGAGCAGTTCATGGAATATATAACTAAGCCATTACCTTGAAAATCTTTTAACTTAGCAGCTCTTGCTTCAGCCACCCTCCTCTCTGCTTCAGGTTCATTAAATGTTCCTCCTTCTTCGTCAGGACAGCTGTACAAAGGAGGAAACAGATGTTTGATTTGCACATTAAATAACCTAAGGCCATCTCAGGATTCATCTTCAAGATTTTGCCTAGAATGTACTTTATCTTGTGTGCCAAATCTTCATCCTTTATCCAAAGCCCTGTTGCATTTGACACCAGTGACATTTTGTGCTTGTTTTTGAAGAAAAGCAGAATAAAGTCTGTGGCTGGTTTCTATTGCATCTTGATGACTGGCTTCTTCCCAAGGAACACAAAAGCAAATTGCATGTTTCAGTCTTACAGAGAAAGCTGAGGGACAGTCAAATGGATTTCTATGATAAATTTACATCTATGAGACCTGTGAAGAAAAGACAAACGAGCAAGAAACCAAGCCCTCCTGCTCCCACCCATCATTTTACCTTTCCACAGCTCTGCGGATGTGTGCCATCCAGGAATTCCTCTCCTCTTTCGAGCTGGTGTGAATTTCATACATTTCTGGTCCTTTTAAGGAAGCACTAATTAAGAACATGGCCTTTTCCTCATTTGCTACCTCTCTTACAATTAGCTTTTGCAACGAGATAACTGGCGGTTTAGAGTCCTGTGAAACAAGAGAGAGTTCACTGCACTACATTATATATGCTCTTTAGGGTTTGTGCTTCCCAGCTCCCCCATCTTCCTGCTTACACAAGGCCACCAGAGCCATAAATAACACCACTAGAACGTCACTGCTATGACACTTTAGACATTGTCATTTTTTACTCATCAACCAGAGATGAAAATGGGGAATGAAGAATGACCCTTTCAAAACCAAGATGTCTTGGTACCTGCCTGAATACTAAAGTGTGTATCAATTTAAACACCTGAGGGTCCCCACTGGGTCCCAGAAGTCAAGAACAGGCTCAAAAAAGTTGCTCCAAAGGAGACAAACCCAACATTTGAAAAAGGAAACAAAAATGACATGTGTGAGGTGGAAGAAGAGCACAAGAGGAAGTGACAGAAGTTCTAAGCTAGCTACAAAGGAAATAAAATGATAACACAGGGGTGTTACAGGGTGGCATCAGGCCCTGTGAATAATAAAACAAGGTGACAGATAGCATGCTGTATAACTAAGGATTAACTGGATTAGTTGTCTGTCTTCTGCAATGGAAACAAATTTACAGGAGGGATATTAGTCACTAAAAACCAATATATGCTTCATACAGCACAGACCCAATACATAGAGCCTAGAAAGATCCTCCCCAGAAGAAACTAGCTCTTTGTAACTGCAGAACCTTTGCAGCATAATCTAGAGTGACAGTAGGAAAACTGAGCTGTGGCACAGACATCAGGAAGGGTTGGTTTTGCCAATGTCTCTGAGCAGCTGTACTGCAATTCAAGCCATGCACAGAGGTCAATGGAAAAACAGAATCACTGAGCAGGTCCATGTGCTCCTCTCACTTGATTTATCTATGGAGAAGGGAGATCTAAATTTCAAATGAACTGTGTACATACAAAGATGCAACAAACCAATCAGTCTGTAACTGTAGAGCATGTTACTGGAGGGGAAAAACCCCACCGTTTAGCAGGGGTTTTTAGGGACTGTCATATGCAGCTGAATGAGATGTGCTCACAGAAAAGTTACTAGGGGATATATAAGCCAGGGCATGACCCTGCAGTAGAGCAGCTACAGTGCCTAAGAACATGCATGTGTGCTCTTATTTCTTGGCAACAATGCTTCAGCCTCAGTGTAGAGCTCAATGACAGCCATGATGGTCAAGACACTACATTAACAGCATGTTTCTTCCCCTCTGTGAACTTGCTCTTCTGCTCATACCTCAGGTGAATTTGGAAAACAGAATTAGTCTATCAGAGTCAATGTCATAAAATGAACTATTGGTCAAAGATTCACCTAATGCTGCTCAAGAGGAAACAACTTCCAGCCATCCTGATCTCTGAAAGTATCCCCATTCTGTGCATTAGAAGAAGGGTAATTTGAAAAGCAGTTGCTTTTACAGCCTTGAGGCCACCAAAATAGCTTTTGCCATTAGAACTCAGCTCTAATGTTAATGTCTTGGAAAAAAAAATATATCCAAGAAAACAATTACATAAAATAGTTTCTCTGTTACTTGTGCTATTACAGCCATAACTGAAGTGGATCAGGACAAAACGTACACGATTAACTGCTCTGAGGATACCTGTGGAAATGCCCTAGAAAAACAAGTGAATCCACTGAGTGCTGCAGTAATTATATTTGCATTTAGTGCTGGCTGCAAAGTTCTTTGCCCCCAGTAAATCTTAGGCTCCTATGACCATGGTTACCACATCCCTCACCAAAATGAAAGATTCTTTCCGTGCACATTAGCAAACAGAAGCAGACCCCATTTGCAAGTGCCTTTCAAAGCACAGATCTAGTATGTTTAACATATATGACACAATTCAGTGAAAGGGAAAGTCACAGCAGAAGAGAAGGAGAAGCAGTGAACCCCAAAACAGGCTCAGGGCACCAGAAAGCCACAGGAGATGTGGCAGCTGGAGCCAGCTGATGGAATAGCACATTGATTTGCACTAAAAGACAGTGTGAGGGATTCAACAAGTACCAGAACTGCTTCAGAAAAAGTGATTCTGTAATAGCTGGCTGCTTTATTACTTAATTTTCCTTCTGAACCCACCATAACAAGCATCTAATATCTCCATTTCCTGTATAATTACCATTGCTTTCAGAAATACTCTAAGTGAATGTATTGAATAAGGAGAACAATACCTACCACTGATGCAAATGTGTATTTTTGGTCCTTTTCTTGTAAGAGCAATAGTACATCAGTTAACAGGACTGCCAGAATATCTACAGGAACAACAGAGAGACAAAAAGACAGGTTTCAATCAGAAAGACAGGTCCAAATTCAAAAACCATCTGAATTCACGTGCCTGTGGGTCAGGGAACAGCACATCAACATCTGCAAGAGTGGGTCTGCTGCTTCCTCCCACTTGAGCTGTCCACAGACACACTGCAGTCATGCAGAACCAGCACCATGCAAACAGAGATGATTTAAAGCTTGAGAACACCTACAGAGGCATCCTACACATTGATAGAAACACTCATGAGGGAATGTGTCTCCCTCAACAGCAGATTCTTCTAGAACTGCAGCTCTCCACAGCACCACCTACTCTTGGCTGCATTTTATGTGCCAGTGAAGCTGCTTCTTGAACACCTGAGCAATGAAGTTGTTAAAATATTCACTGGTGGACACTGGTTTGATTTTCTGGCAAAACAGACATTATGCAGAATGAAGGTGTCATGGGGTTGTGAAGCAGTGCTAATAATGCCTTTCCACAGGAGACCAAGTCAGTATGACTCAAAGCTTTGTCATCTATCTAAAGACCTCCCTCTTGAATTGGAAAGCAGATCAGACAGATAATAAGCAAACAGCATAAGGAACTTATCATGCACCATTATAGAGATGCTTATTGGACAAGCCAAGAATAGAACAAGTGCTATTTCCTCCAATATCCTATTAAACGAGCAGGTTATTGTCATTTTATACCCCATCGATCAGTAATAAACAGTTACTAAAAAAAAAATAAAATATATGTATATAAAAAAAATAAATAAAAAGCTTGTTTCTCAGTTGTGTTTTCCCCCCTCCTGGCCCTTTACCTTTGAGTCTCCCTGATGCAGCTTTCCAGTACAGCATCCCATCCAGCAGAAGCCGCCTCTGTCCCATGTCATCCTTCCGGAAGAAAAGCCCATTCTTGCATTTCCCTGATGATTTTAGCTCCATTTTATGCATAATCTCTTTAAGGCGTTGCCCCTTCTCACACTCATTTACTGTGGCATCTACATGAGTGATTGTGTCCTTAATTAAACTAAGGGCCTGGGTCAGCTCTTCGTAATCTCTAGTTCCAGCTAAGAGAAAAGAGCAGCAGTCAGTGGGTCACATTTTTAACTTTGGAATGCAAGATATGAGCAGCTAAACATATTGTAATAACAAGGTTCCATACTGAGCATCTAACAGTTATTTCCTAACAGCTTAAGTTTAAAAATAAAATAAAAGACAAAATATCCTAAAGCTCTATACCTCTATTGAACTGACAGACTTAAACTGCTACGGCTTTGTGGTTGCAGACTTCAAAATCAGCACCTGATGAGGCAACACTGATCTGGATCTGCATCTAGTACAATATCTTCAGCCAACGAAGAAATGAAAAGCAGGAACAGGCAGTATCACCCCGTCCCTCCTTGTCTGAGGAAAGAGCATTCAGAACACAGGAGAAGGATGAGCAGACAACTGTGAGGCTTCCAGGAAAGATTAAACCTACCTTCTGTATTCTGAATAATGCGTTCCACCAAGACTGGGTATTTGGTGATGCGCTGGGTTACCAGAAGGATACACTCCTGAACACCAAGTCTCCTCACGATGGAAGAGTTCCCAATTTTCTAGAAAACACGACAGACTCATCACATCCATTGTGTATATTGCTCTTCTAACTCCCTCGCCTCACCGTCCCCACATTTTCTGTCTCCACTTTGGTACAACAAGGCACAGCATCACTGAATTAGCTGCACTCTTTTACTAAAGCAAGCCTCCTGCTAACATTAAAAAAAATTGCCTTTATTACTGGAAAATATTTTGGGTATTATTTTCAACTACTGTTAACTAAACCTGGAGCCAAACAGAGAAAGTTCTGGATCTGAACTGTTTGACTGCCTATTTGCTGATTGCCTTTTATAATAGGATCAGTTCTTAAATCCATAGGAAAGTACTAGATTTTTGAACCCAGACCCAACCCACCTTACAGCCAAATGAGGTCAATAATGAGTAAACTAAGTGCTGCTTTGACCACTGTATGTTCACCAGGAGGCTCCTCTACAGTACCACAGCTCTGTTTCGAAAGGGAAGAGTGTGAAGCATCAGGATGCCACTAGTCAGTCTGGCTACAGGTCCAGCACAATCCTGGCAGCAGAATACTGTACTTCTTTCTTTACAAGGACTGTGGCTACGTATTTTAAAACTCTGGTTACTTACTTAGTTCCTTGAAAGTAAAGGGTTCTCCCTTTTAATGACTCCTAGTTAAGAAGAGCTGTAAGTATAGCGCTACGTTGGAATGTTCACACGGTGTCACTTACTGAGGACTGGAAAATGTGAATGCTTAAGACTGTGCAATGACATCTGCAGTTCAGGTTACAGGCTTCCACTTTGGCTCTGTCTCTTCAGCCCTTCCTATTAATTGCACATTACACTGTACAGCAGACAAAACAACCACCCTGGAGCCAATCTTGTGGTTTTGGAAAGATGATGTAGTGGGCAAAACTTAACTCAGAGTACCTGCTTTTTCCATAGTAGTTCATTAACAGCATTTATCATTGACTGAATTTATTATCAAGCCAATTTATAAAGATGGCCACACAGCAGGGCAGCCAGTGACAGAGCCATGAATACCTAAAGGGGGCCTACAAGGAAACTAGAGAGGGACTTTTGACAAGGGCCTGTAGGGACAGGACAAGGGGAATGGCTTTAACCG